ATTGACAAGTGGTGGGAGAGTGTGTGGATGGAAAGAGAGAGTAAAGAAATAATAGAAAAAAAGGGGTAGGCTTGGAAGGGATAGGAAGAAAGAGATATGAAATAGTTTTTATAAGGGAGAAGGCCAGAGGATGGATAAACGTATTGTGAAAGAGGAGACAGCAAAAGAGAAAGAATGGAGTGATACAGCGAATGCCAAGTCTCTGTGAGAAAAATAGAAAGTGTAACAACAGTCACATGACTGCAAAGGAAAGGGGAGTGGGGGTGGGGGGGGGGGGGAGGGGGGTTGGTGGAGAAATAGTAAAAGAGAGTGAAAAACGTGAGAAAGCCAAATATTGAAGCTACAGTAGCTGAGACACTCAGCCAACTCCATACACAAAAACCATACTCAGGTTACTGAGACAGTAAACATACACATAAGAAACAACACACAAGATAACATACTCTAGACATGTGGAAAGTACGGATGGTGTACGTGGCTAGTTCTGTCACATCAACGAGCTGTATGTGCATCAGCCCGTAGGTCTCTGCTCCCCGAGATGGCCAGTACTGGTCACATTTAATCTGTGGGTTTCATATCAGCAAACATGAAAAATGTAATCTCTACACAGGCATCAAAGTCACATATGAATTTTTATAAAAAACACACGAACAGAAAACAACAACTTTACTGTTATATAAAATGCATTATTCCCATGTGAGTTCTGAGGCCTGAATTTGGGCGAAGGGAATTCGCTCCACTTTTTCCCAAACAATCAGGTCATTAAAGGTGAAAATGGATCATCAGTCTGGTGAGAGTGATACAGCAATGAGTGATGAGGGGTTCTGGCCGATGCTTGACACTTAGAGGAAAGACAAGGTGTGCATATAATCAGACTGCCACTGGTAGCAGTGGTATTGGAATTCCCTGCTGGCAGCTGAGTGCTTATGGGAATTCCCGGAGTGCTGTGATGTTTTGTCTTGAATCAACTCAACTCAACTCGGGCTAATTAGGAGCTCGCAGAGATCAGATGTGTTGGGTCAAACAATGTATAAACTGCAGACTAACAGTTAACCCCAACATATCGTGCCAACCACCATTTTAATGATGAATGCAGCAGTAGAAGAAGAAGAAGAAGAAGAAGAAGAAGAAGAAGAAGAAGAAGAAGAAGAAGAAGCAGAAGAAGAAGCAGAAGAAGAAGAAGAAGAAGAAGAAGAAGAAGAAGAAGAAGAAGAAGAAGAAGAAGAAGAAGAAGAAGAAGAAGAAGAAGAAATATGTTATAACAACAACATAACTTTGCATGCCACTCTATAATACTACTGTCTAGACAGATGAAAATTTGCCACCATATCACCATCATTTTATCATCTGTAATATGGCAGCTGCTTGCTGTTAATAATAGTGTCCAATGATCAGCCATGCACCTCTCTATTTAACACATACATACACACACACACAAATATCAGTCAATTTACCCAGTTCTCTAAATGGTAAGGTTATTTTTGGGATGTCTAATACAGTTTTTTTCCTCATTGCTTGTATGTGAATTTAGGAAATCTTCTGTTCTGTGTCGACTGTGATACCTGCCATCTGGCATATAGGAGTTGAGGTCTTGAGGACTAGTCCTTAACAGGATTCGACCAATTCTGTTTTTCCTGTGGGCATTTTGCCAAGTCCTGACAAGGACTAATCCTGAAAAGGACTTTGCTTGTCTCACCTGTATCTTTCTGGTCTTTGTCTGGTTTCTTACTGGTTGGTGTACTACAAGTATACCACCAACAGCATTCAGCAAGACACTTGCATCAAACAAATACTAATTATCAACCCTTTCTTGATAAAATCAATAATTAATGTAATAATTACAATACGGATATCAGCTATTTTAGTCAAAAATTATTTGGGAGCTGAGTAGATGTGATTTTATAGATGAATAATGAAAACATCAAAAGCAAGACAGGAATAAAGAAACTAGCTCACGAAGAGAACTGATTGCCCACATCAAAAGGAGACAACCTAAATTATTTGGACATGCCAGAGGAGGAGAAAACTGGAAAACATCATGAGAGTAGGATAGATGGAAGGGAATAGAGGCACAGAGAGACATAGAGAAAAAGCTGGGCACTTTTACATCAAGGCACGGAAGATCCTCTGTGTCAGAGATGACTGAAAGTACATGAGAAAGAAAGTTGTGGATAGACATGACTACCAGTATCACAAGGAATGGACTTTAAGAAGAAGAAGAATCAACAGGCAGGACAAAGTGGCACAACAGCATACCCGTGATCTTTCTTCCAGTTTGGTCATCATGACAATAGTGGCTGAACGTTGTTCCCACACCATCCTCCAGAAGTCTCCAAACGTTTCAGGAAGAGGGCCCTGTGGAATAATAGAATATCTATTAATATCTTCTTCTTCTTTGTGATCACTGGCTGTAAACTTTGGCAGAAATTTCTGGTTGTTCACCAAATTTTAGACTTAAGTTTGGTCCAGAACCTGAGTTTTGCATGCACATCCATTTTACAGATCTGGCTTGTTTGCAAACATACTATTGGATCCAAGCCTCTCAGGCAGATGCACTCTGACGTCAAAGGAAACTCCCCTAATTACTCTTCTTTGAAGACACAATGTGTGTGTTTGTGTGTGTGTGTGTGTGTGCGTGTGCATGTGTGTGTGTGTGGGGGGGGGGGGGGTGTATATTCGGGAACATCAAATGATCTGAAACTCCATCAACGATGTGGAACCGACACAGTTGTCATTGCCATCAGCGATATGGAACCAACACAGTTGTCATTTGCCATCAGCGATATGGAACCGACACAGTTGTCATTTGCCATCAGCGATATGGAACCAACACTGCTGTCAGTTGCCATCCATGCTTTTGTATTTTTACTTTGTATTCATACTATGAATTTTGATATATGAACACAATATGCCATGATATATAAAATACAACTGATGTATGAAAGAGGAGTGCTTGAAAGAGCCGAATATAAAATAGGCCTGTGTGCCCAATTTGTAACCTGTTGGATGTAAAATATTGTCTGTTCATTCGTTCGTTTGAAAACAATAGCTGCAGAATACTACTATTCATAAAATACATCTTTAACCGTTTTACCCAGAGAAGCCGCAAAACCATCACTTCCGGTTGGGCTCAATACCCAGTGAATGTCCTTTTTCCTGACTTGACTTTAGGTTACTGTACCCGCGGTGAGAAGGTTATTGTGCTTGGCGTGAGTTGACTGAGGACCTATTCTCCATTGGGAGATAAAAAGCAGAAGAAGAAGATTGTCAATCAACTCACCTGAGTGGCTATATAAGCATTCTGTTTGCGGTAGCCATCCATGTAGTTAGCATTGATGTAGTCGCTGCCAGGGACACCTTCCATTGGCTGAAGGATCACTCGAGAATGGTCATAAGCTATGACGTTGGCATAGCGGTTCTTGGGCTTGTTGACCTCCAGGTTGGAGTTGTCCCAGGTGAACTGCTGCCCTGGCTCAATACTTTCATACTCCTGGGAAAACTTGAAGTTGTCGCTGGATTTGAGGCTCTCAATGTGTTCTGCTAGTCTGTCTATCGGGATGGGTGGATGACTAATCATAGCTGGAAAGAAATCAAATTCAGTCTGAGTTTATTACGTATATTCTGTATTTTAAAGCTCTACACTATAAAGTGAAACCGCTTTAAATTATAGCTTTCAAATCCTTTCTCCTACTCTTAGTTTACATCTTGGTACAGTAAGACCACTTAACTCTTTTGAGTCCCAGGGAATGCATCATGCACTAATTTGTTTCAACTGTGCGGCCCAATCGACGCGTGACAAGTGAAGTTTTTTAATCTACCACTGACCGGTTAAAAAACATGGACCACTGGTGGGCTCATTTAGAAACGTGGTTTGAAAGCCAAAAATATAGCATATTTGCGAGATTTGCCAAGTTACTAAGTGTTTGTTTGAAAAAAATATGACTGCCAAGCGGATGCATGCCAACATGATTTACAGCTTTAGAAGCCTCAAATTTAAAAAAGTACGTGTTTATTTGATTCATCAGAAGTTAGATAGATAACATTGCGAATTAGACATGTTTCAGTCATTTATAGAGTCAAACTGATGAGGGATATGTCTAACGTGTAACTCATGCAAAGGGTACAACAATAGCAAAGTCAGCTGGCACAAATAGAATTAACATTAGTGAAAGATGATTTTCTTCAGTGTCAGTTAGTTTAGTGCTATTCCCCTGATTATTTAGGAACAAAGCTACCAAATTACAGGCAAATTGAGTGTTATATAAACTTCATTTTGTGCGAATACATTTATTGTTTTGGGAGTCAGTTTTCTTGACCAAATAATGGTGCTCTGTTATGATGCTTCAAAAGATTCTTTGGAACAAAATCTAATGTATAGACTGAGTTTATATTTTACTTATACATTACTTAGTGGTTCATATTCATTTGTGATTCATTCTGAATATATTTTGACCAGTTTTCCTAGAGTGCCATGCTGGTAAGTGGAATTTTTAAAATTTCATTTTACAAATTTTTGTAAACATACCATCTGTTTATTTACTTACTAATGCAATTATTTGTTGCAGCTGTATTCTATAATTATTACTCAACAATCCCTGGTCACTTTCATGTATGTGTATGTTGTGCGGCACATGAATTAGTAAAAATAAAAAGGGACTTCCTTTAAAGTCAGAGTGCATCTACCTGAGAGGCAAGGAACCAACAGTCTGCATACAAATAAATCACATCTGTAAAATGGATGTGCATGCAACACTCAGGTCCTGGAACAAGACTTAAGTCCGGAGGCAGATGTACAACTCAAACTTTCCACTGGAGTGTGCAGCTGGTGAACGTAAAAAAGAATTATAAGAGGAATTGCTCAAAAGAAAAACCATTTCTTGGGTGCTTATCAGGCCTGCACTGTAATCAAAACTAACTTCTCCACACTCACTTTCACCAACAGAAAAATAAAAAGAAAAAAAATACCTCTACCAAGTTTATTAACTGTCAAAGTCAAGTACCTGGGGTCTGGTAGTGCTGTCTCCTCATTTCCACAGGATCCACTGAATATGAAGGTGGCTCAATCATCAATGCCTTGGCTTCAGGCTCCATTGGATCTCCTTTGGTCTTTTTCTTCTTTCTGAAAAGTTACAATTTTAGGCAGCATTTTAGCAACATGTGAACACATGGAATCTATGATTTAGGTATAATGTAGAGACTATTTTGGTGAAAGCAGCTGAAATAAGACAAAAAACAGTATTCTCTCTATCTCTCTCTCTCTTTATATATATATAAAATACATGGTCTTCTCGAATCATGCCTGAGTTTCTGATTAACAGGTCAGAAGCTGAATTAATAATTTTCAACGCTGTTTTCATTCAAACGGTTTATTAAAAAATGTACATAAAACACATAATTTAATCAATGTACGTATAATTATTCTACATAATTTACTCTAAGCATGGATTCCAGGAAATTCTTTACCCTACCAATGTAGGTTTTGGGGGTAGTCATGGTACAGCAACTAGACGATCGCCTGCAGATCAGAAGGTCAAGGGTTCGGGTCCTGATGGAACAGGACTTTAAAAAAAAAACTTTGCTCCCAGATTGACCCAGCCTTAAGTGGGCCCCAGGTAGTCCTGGGAAGTAAAGGCGGCCTGCATGATGCTGACCACATCAACCTCCAATTACAGACTGGTTTATAAAATATAGGTGTAGCTCTATATGCCCAGTAAGTGTAAATGCGTGAAAAAGGGTCTTTACCTTTTTTTTAAAATGTAGATGTTTTTTTCTTTACCACTTTTATTTTTATTTTTTTATTTTTGTGTGTGGCTTTAAGTGCAGATGTCTGTAAGTGAAGGGGCATATACAAATAAATTAAACAGGTATTTTCTCTATACATGCAGTGGAAAAATCAAGAGTTAAAGTAAATAGTTATAAGACTGTACTTCAATGACAGCACAATATCACAACCTAAACTTCAGACTGACCTCATGAAAATGAAGCAGATGATGGCACAGATGATAATGACGATTACAGCCCCGGCACACGTCGGAGCGACGATGGTCAACAGGGCACTGGCGTCGGCATCGTTGAAATCCTTGACCTGGCTGTCCTCACCATAGACTTCTGCATCCTTAACCTTTTTCTGGTTCCCTTTATCGCCAGTGCTTCCCCTTGGAGGATGTGATCCGATGATGGATGAGATGCTGATCTCGTCTGAGAAGTCACTGGACGTGTACAGGCGCTGAGGATGAAGACATTCACAGACATGTTGGATAAATGAAATCTTTCTACCTGGGTCATTAAAGATATGAGATATTACAGCTTCCTTTAAAAAAAATATATAAATATACATTAGATATCCTAAAGATATCACAGCATTCTATCTACCTGAATCTACCTGATGTTACAAAAGGTTAAATATCACAGCCTTCTATGTGAGGTAACAGTAATAGATATTACCATAAAGAAATTAATTTAAATATAAATTTAATCACTTCATAGTAACCTGCATCAATTGCCAAGAAAACCTTATCAGCTTTTATGACAAATCCAGCTGTTACCATGACAACTTCAGCAATAACTAAGAAAACTATAATAATTAACCTGAAAACTTGAGCAGTGACATTCAAGTTCCTGCAATTCCCTTCAGCAACTTTGGGTGACCAGTTTGCTGTGAATCTGGAACTACCATTACCTGACTCTTTAAGGAAAACTGGCCAACATTGTCTTCTTGTTTATAATTTCTAATTATACAAATATTTTTACAAATTTTTTACAAATACGGTTAGCTAACAAACCTGGAAATAACTGTCCAATTTACTAAATAAATCTTTTATATCCCAAAGATGTTTAAAAGTCTGTCCATGTGACAGATAAAAATCCTTGCATTTTCTAAGAGTTAATTCTTTCTGTACCTATCAACTCACTATATTTGCTGGCTAGTCCAGGCAACCTGCTGTTTTGTGTGTGTGGTGCTGTGTTGTGTTTGTGTTGTGAGGTGTGTGTGTGTTTTGTGAATCAGTTACGATGTTAACTCATTCTAACCCAATTACAAGCTTAGCTCTTTCTGATTCTCTGTGTTCTTGTAACCTATTCTGACCCAAATACTAGCTATTTTTAAAGTATAGCTTATTATTATACTAAGAAGAATTCCCCCCCCCCCCTCCCTTCTAATCAAGCCCTCATATGGACACCGGAAGGAACAAGAAAACGGGGAAGACCAAGAGAGACCCTGTGTGGAACCATCATCAGCGAGGGCTCAACCATGGGCTTAATGAACATCCAAGACATGTGTCAAGAACTGCCAGACATGATGAACTATGACCTCTGCCCCAGGCACCACCGTAGACTCCAGAGAAATGACAAACCAACTAAGACTAATGGTTTAAGAAATTATCTGTGAAATAGGTAACCGTCAAAACTCAGTCAGTAACAAACTTAGCTAGTATGTATTCTGTTCCTGGGATTCATCTCACCTGGTCTACAGAATATGCCCTTAAGAAGACTCGGTAGCGGTCATCTGTGTTTAAGGGCCGATTGGAGAATGAGCCATACTCCTGGTTATTGCCCAAGTAGAACTCGGATGGGAGAGACTGAGACTCAAATCTGGCTGCAATGTAGGGATGAGATGCTGGCATGTCTGTGCTCATCCTCTCCTTGGTCAGCTGAAAGAAGAAACAAACAAAAAAAAAAAAGAATATGAAACCTCATTGGGGAAGAGTGGGGGAGGGACATGAAAGAGAAATATAAACTTAGATGAAACATAATTACTAAGTCAAATATAAGAGAAATTATGTTAACATATTTTTCTTGTTCTTCAGCATTCTGAGTTCTTTCTGCAGATATCACTTGCCTACATCGATCTCAGTGAATTGTCTTCTCTTCTCAGTGTTGACTTCAAGTGTCTGGAGGACAGCCTGGATATTATCTCATCTGCCTGGATATTATCTCATCTGTCTGGATATTATCTTATCTGTCTGGATATTATCTCATCTGTCTGGATATTATCTAGTCTGCCTGGATATTATCTGTCTGGATATTATCTCATCTGCCTGGATATTATCCCATCTGCCTGGATATTATCCCAACTGCCTGGATATTATCTCATCTGCCTAGATATTACCTTGTCTGCCTGGATATTATCTCGTCTGCCTGGATATGATCTCGTCTGTCTAGATATTATCTCGTCTGCCTGGATATTATCCCATCTGCCTGGATATTATCTCGTCTGTCTAGATATTATCTTGTCTGCCTGGATATTATCTCGTCTGCCTGGATTTTATCCCATCTGCCTGGATATTATCTCATCTGCCTGGATATTATCTCATCTATCTAGATATTATCTTGTCTGCCTGGATATTATCCCGTCTGTCTGGATATTATCTCATCTGCCTGGATATTATATCGTCTGCCTGGATATTATCCCATCTGCCTGGATATTATCTCATCTGTCTAGATATTATCTCGTCTGCCTGGATATTATCCCATCTGCCTGGATATTATCTCGTCTGTCTAGATATTATCTTGCCTGCCTGAATTTTATCCCATCTGCCTGGATATTATCTCATCTGCCTAGATATTATCTTGTCTGCCTAGATATTATCTCATCTGTTTGGATATTATCTTGTCATGGTCTAATCCTAATCAACTCTTTTGTGTACACTGTTCTTTGTGTGACTGTATGTTTGTGTGTGTCTGTTATCTACCAAGTTCACTATATGGCCCATAATTACAATTTTTTATTAGTTTATGATGCTGGTAATTAGTGGTGATGTAGATCTTCAATTTCACTGATGCTTCTCCTCTCCATTCTTTGCAAATGTTAACACATTATTATGTTCTATTATGTGTGTCAGTTGTACGAGTTCCTGACATATGTTTGCACTCACAGTATGTTGACTTCTCTATCCTCTGAGGTGAGAACTGACACAGATATTTTGATATTCTAGTTAATCTATTTTAAATATATATGGTTTCTGCCTGTGTACCCATCACCATTATCTCTGTGTTTTCCAAGCCTATTTTGATATTATATTTGAAACACAAAACATTAACGTAAAAAGTCATTAAACGAAAGGCTGATCATCCGCAAGACACCCATTACATTGTAATAATTCATATAACATATTTTTGTGACGGAGCTACAGATGTGATATGAATACTGACCTCCTCAAGAGTGTAGTCTGATGGTAGTTTCGTCAGGCCAGACTTGGAAGGAACCACAATAATATGATAATGGCTGATGGGCCCATTTTTCTCAGACGCTCGTTTCAGCCCCATCTGAATGGTGCCCTTCTGTACAGCCAGGATTGTGGGCTTCTCAACACGGGGCGGGGCTGTGGATTTGGCAATCGATTAAGGATACATTTCTATTTGTAAACTAATTAAATGCATTAAAAAAATATATTTCTCACACACTCTCTCTCCTGCTCTCTCTTTTAAGTGCACCTGTGTTTGTGAACATATATTTCTCTCCCTCTTTCTCATGCTCTCTCTTTTAAGTAAACCTGTGTTTTTTTTAATCATATATTTCTCTCCCTCTCTCTCCTGCTCTCACTTTTAAGTACACCTGTGTTTTTGTATCATATATTTCTCTCCCTCTCTCTCTCCTGCTCTCTCTTTTAAGTGCACCTGTGTTTGTTTATCATATATTTCTCTCCCTCTCTCTCCTGCTCTCTCTTTTAAGTACACCTGTGTTTGTGTATCATATATTTCTCTCCCTCTCTCTTTAAGTGCACCTGTGTTTGTGTATCATATATTTCTCTCCCCTCTCTCTCCTGCTCTCTCTTTTAAGTACACCTGTGTTTATGTATCATATATTTCTCTCCCTCTCTCTCTCAAGTACACCTGTGTTTATGTATCATATATTTCTCTCCCCCTCTCATGCTCTCTCTTTTAAGTGCACCTGTGTTTGTGTATCATATAGTTCTCTCCCCCTCTCTCTCTCTTAAGTACACCTGTGTTTGTATATCATATAATTCTCTCCCTCTCTCCTGCTCTCTCTTTTAAGTACACCTGTTTTTGTGTATCATATATTTCTCTCCCTCTCTCTCTCTTTAAAGTGCACTTGTGTTTGTGTATTATATATTTCTCTCCCTCTCTCTCTCTCCTGCTCTCTCTTTTAAGTGCACCTAAGTTTGTGTATCATATATTTCTCTCCCTCTCTCCTGCTCTCTCTTTTAAGTACACCTGTGTTAGTGTATCATATATTTTTCTCCCTCTCTTTCTCTCCTGCTCTCTCTTTTAAGTACACCTGTGTTTTTGTATCATATATTTCTCTCCCTCTCTCTCCTGCTCTCTCTTTTAAGTGCACCTAAGTTTGTGTATCATATATTTCTCTCCCTCTCTCCTGCTCTCTCTTTTAAGTGCACCTAAGTTTGTGTATCATATATTTCTCTCCCAGTTTTTTATTTATGTATATGCCATGTTATCACAACTGATGTTGCTGCACACTGGACACTCTCGGATGAACTTAGTGCTCCGATACAGCAGCTATACCAAGGTACCTCTACTGACTGTTCCCATGAAAAGTTGGTTATAATGTCTCCGATCGTGACTTCAAAGACGGCACTGATGTGTTTCACCAGACTTCACCCAGAGAACATACAATCGTATTAAAAGTTAGAGATTTCTTGCAAACTGCTAGTATATTCCATAAATTGTTGATGATATCTGATCTGTCCATGCATCTTTCCACAGCAGTGGTACAATACCCGCCAGCTGGTCTGCTCATTCATTACCTTTCACTCCAGCATACCCAGGTGTGTAAATCTAGGTAAGGGAGGTTAAGTGTGACTTCCAAATGATGATCACTCATTCAGATCAGAGCCTACCTAGTGCTTCAGTCTGAAGCATGTTCATGGAAAGTGATATGATCAGTTGTTCTGCTGCTCATGCAAGTGCTCTGGAAACAGCTGTTATCTCCGCGGTTACCCTTAAGTAGTTGCCCGGTGAGCATTCTCTTTCACTGTTTTCCCAAATCCTGTTTGTGGGTATGACCACGCCGACCTTGACCCATTTCTCACAGACCCATCGGTGCTGATGATTACGTCAACTGGATATAAGTGCTGATCTATCAGTGCCCTTTTGTGTGTACACACACACACACACACACACACACACATACATACTTATACACACACACACAGATGCCTCATAGAGAAAAAAAATACTCTAAGGAGATGATTCACACAGGGCCAAAGTTCACATAATTAAATGAAGAAAGTAGGGAGATGCCTTACCGAGAACAAAATCTCAGACATCTGGAGATTGGACCAGGGAGATGCCTTATAGAGAGCTAAATCTCAGACACGTGGAGAATGGACCAGGGAGATGCCTTATAGAGAGCTAAATCTCAGACACGTGGAGAATGGACCAGGGAGATGCCTTATAGAGAGCTAAATCTCAGACACGTGGAGAATGGACCAGGGAGATGCCTTATAGAGAGCTAAATCTCAGACACGTGGAGAATGGACCAGGGAGATGCCTTATAGAGAGCTAAATCTCAGACACGTGGAGAATGGACCAGGGAGATGCCTTATAGAGAGCTAAATCTCAGACACGTGGAGAATGGACCAGGGAGATGCCTTATAGAGAGCTAAATCTCAGACACGTGGAGAATGGACCAGGGAGATGCCTTATAGAGAGCTAAATCTCAGACACGTGGAGAATGGACCAGGGACAGAGAACTAAATCTCAGATATCTGGATAATAGACCAGGGTGATTCGTCACAGAGATCTAAACATGAAATGTTAATATAATAAGATGACTAGACCACTGTGATACATCCTGGACATCCATGGAAGTTGTTGGTTGTATTACCTCACTTCACATGTTCCTTGGTAACCCAAGAGAGTGGACTAGTTATGTCTCAATAACTCACCAATAATCAGAGCGATTAGAGACCTCTTAAGTTAGATCTCTTAAACTCACCATCAATCAGAGTGGTCTAGTTATTTGTTTAACTCACCATCAGTCAAAGTGGTCTAGTTTTTTGTTTAACTCACCATCAGTCAAAGTGGGCTAGTTATTTGTTTAACTCACCATCAGTCAAAGTGGTCTAGTTTTTTATTTAACTCACCATCAGTCAGAGTGGTCTAGTTACATGTTTAACACACCATCAGTCAGAGTGGTCTAGTTACATGTTTAACTCACCATCAGTCAGAGAGGTCTATTTTTTTGTTTAACTCACCATCAATCAGAGTGGTCTAGTTATTTGTTTAACTCACCATCAGTCAAAGTGGTCTAGTTACGTGTTTAACTCATCATCAGTCAGAGTGGTCTAGTTATTTGTTTAACTCATCATCAGTCAGAGTGGTCTAGTTATTTGTTTAACTCACCATCAGTCAGAGTGGTCTAGTTACGTGTTTAACTCATCATCAGTCAGAGTGGTCTAGTTTTTTTGTTTAACTCACCATCAGTCAGAGTGGTCTAGTTTTATGTTTAACTCACCATCAGTCAGAGTGGTCTAGTTTTTGTTTAACTCACCATCAATCAGAGTGGTCTAGTTACGTGTTTAACTCACCATCAGTCAGAGTGGTCTAGTTATTTGTTTAACTCACTATCAGTCAGAGTGGTCTAGTAACATGTTTAATTCACCATCAGCCAAAGTGGTCTATTTTTTGTTTAACTCACCATCAATCAGAGTGGTCTAGTTATTTGTTTTAACTCACCATCAATCAAAGTGGTCTAGTTACGTGTGTAACTCACCATCAGTCAGAGCGGTCTAGTTATGTGTTTAACTCACCATCAATCAGAGTCTCAGTGACCAGGGACTGCTGCGAACCCTCCTCTCCATCTCTGAACACAGCACTGATGTTGAACTCAAACTTCATCTTCGGCTTGAGGTTTGTCACAGTCCAGGTTGTGTGCTGGTGGTTGATCTTCACCTCCTTGGACTCAAAAGACACCTGTTTCAACTCGTTGTCCTCCCTGTATGTCTTGATACCGTCATACCGGAGCTAGGTTGAGAGTGAGACACATGAACTAGCTGACTAATTCCATACATGTGTATAGATGGATACATATATATATATGTGTGTGTGTGTGTTTTTGGATGAGTAAGAGTGCAAGCATGTATGTGTGTGAATGTATGAGTGTTTCTATGTATGAGTATGTGTGAGTGCATATATAGGTAGATGCAAGATTATGTGAGCCTGTGTCTGTTTGAGTATGTATGACTGTTTATGTATGATTGTGTGTATATGCATGTTAGTGTATGAATTATGGATATGATATCTATGTACTTATGTATGTACCTGTAAATGAGAGTATATGTGTGTTATATACGAGAGTGTATTATCCGTATAAGTGGTTGTACAGTATGCATGCTTGTGTGTGAGTGAGTGAGTGAATGAATGTGTGGGTAGGCATGTGCACATTTATTTTCCATTTTCTCCCTTGATATTCATATTATGCATATTGTTAAATGAACATAACAAGCTGTACATGTATAAAAATACAACAGCTGTGTGAAAGATAAGTGTCTGGAAGGGCCGAATGTAAGACAGGCCTATGTGCCCAATTTGTGACCCTTTGAAAATACAGTTTGTTCATTCGTTTTTTTCAATCACAGAAGGTGATTCATCTGAAGCAGATCAGTTATCCCACAGCTAAAAAAGCAATATTTCCATCACAGACTCGTCTACAAAAATAGAATTCCCCAACAGCTGGTCAATTTGTAAACTGTCGCATTTATGTTGTTAAACGACATGTCATTTTTGTAATTGTTATTTTTTAATACTCTTTCAGTCTTGAGTAACCAACTGTGTGTGATGCTTTTTCTAACAAACCCACATGCGTCCCTACCACTGTATAAGGTTTCATCTGGCTACAACACACTAAAACATCTGGCCATTCCATTGTATATTTAGTCTCTTAACAAGTAATACACTCATTGTTCTTTAAGGGTTGTTTCCTCTCCCATGGTGAGCATCTCTTAAAAAAACCTTCTGGACTGAAAAAATTTATTATATGTCATGTTTTTTATGAAACAGTCGAGTCTATTTTGTGTTATTCATAATCAAGTCTGTCTAGTCCATCTCACAATATGTTATGATATCTTTAAAACAGTCTAGTTTATCTCAAGTTATGTCACACTATCTGTAAAACAGTCCAGTTTATATTAGTTTAATGAAGCATCCTGGGAGCCATGGTAGTGTAATAGCCAGATACTTACCTGCAGGTCCGAGGCTCTAGGGTTTAAATCCACACTGAAGCAGATTTTCTTCAAAACGGACTCTGGTCGACCCAGCCTTAAATTGAGTACCAAATTTCCTTGGAAGTAAAGGCTGAATAAGCTTCTCCCCCCCCCCCCCCCCCAATTTAAAGAAAAAAAAATTTTTTTAAAATATATATATTAAAAAGCCTACAAGACAATGGCAGATACAGAAAAGGTGTGCAACAGCTCCTTTTACAGGTTCCTTTCACTTCTTACGGAGCATGCTAATTTACTAATACCGTGAAACAGTCTAATTCACCTAACAACAAACAGCTTAGTAGTGACTTGATGATGTAAGAGTTCAGCTGACACCTGTGACTTGATGATGTAAGAGTTCAGCTGACACCTGTGACTTGATGATGTAAGAGTTCAGCTGACACCTGTGACTTGATGATGTAAGAGTTCAGCTAACATCTGTGACTTGATGATGTAAGAGTTCAGCTGACACCTGTGACTTGATGATGTAAGAGTGGAGCTAATACCTGTGACCTGATGATGTAAGAGTGAAGCTAACACCTGTGACCTGATGATGTAAGAGTGAAGCTAATACCTGTGACTTGATGATGTAAGAGTTCAGCTGACACCTGTGACTTGATGATGTAAGAGTGAAGCTAACACCTATGACCTGATGATGTAAGAGTTCAGCTGACACCTGTGACTTGATGATGTAAGAGTGAAGCTAATACCTGTGACTTGATGATGTAAGAGTGAAGCTAATACCTATGGCCTGATGATGTAAGAGTGAAGCTAACACCTGTGATATGATGATGTAAGAGTTCAGCGAACACCTTTACTTGATGATGTAAGAGTTCAGCTAACACCTGTGACTTGATGATGTAAGAGTTCAGCTGACACCTGTCACTTGATGATGTAAGAGTTCAGCTAACACCTGTGACTTGATGATGTAAGAGTGAAGCTAACACCTGTGACTTGATGATGTAAGAGTGAAGCTAACACCTGTGACCTGATGATGTAAGAGTTCAGCTAACACCTGTGACTTGATGATGTAAGAGTTCAGCTGACACCTGACACGAACAAATGTCTGTATCTCACCATGTAGCTCTGGACATCCTCCCTCCGTGGCTTGTCCCAGGACAGCTTGACCTGGTTGGTAAGTCTCTGAGTGACTCTAAACCGCTGCACTGCATCATCACGTTCTGTCAGAGAGATAGAGTCAATGTTAGAGTGTGTATAACCATCTCAAGAGATCCACAAATGAAGGATTTGAAAAAAACAAAAAACAAAACAAAAACTGATTCTCATCATCATCAAAAAAAGTTGAACTTACCCAGAATGTTAAAACAAAAATGTATAAATGTGTCAGGTTCATCATCACCATCCAGTGAAACTGAACTCATCCAGAGCAATATCTCACTATAAGTTTATATGTTTCCAAAAGTGAGTCCGAAAAATGAGGGGGTGGGGGGGGGGGGGGGGGGGGGGGGGGGGGGGGGGGGGGGGGGGGTGGGGTGGACACTGACACACTGTCAAACTGGACAGTCGATAACTAATTGTATTTACCACTTCTCTGGTGTAGGCAGGCGGGTCTTTGAGCCTGGAGATTTAGGCACTGCTAGTGCTGCTACCACTGTGCGAGCTGGGATGTTATTTTTGCCCCCAATTAAAAAAAAACCATGACCTTAGTTAAGATTGGAACCTGGGTCTGACTCATAAGAGCCCGGCGTTATTTATTCTTAGGCCAGCCGCTCCTCCTAAAATATGGCTCCTTAGAAAAAGTGATTAATCAATTATTTACTACTCCATCAAAGACCTTAGTTACGAAATGCAAGCAACTGTAGCAGTCTACTGAAGGACTGGTCATGGGCTAAGAGAGAGCTGCCGTTGTGTAGAGGCTAGATGCTCACCTGTGGATTAGAAGTTCACTGATTGAGGCCCTAAATTGTTTTAAACAGATGACTTTGGTTCCCAGGTTGAGACATCCTTAAATGGGCACCAAGTGATTGATCTCCTGGGAAGTAAAGATGGCTGACATCATGATGACCACATTACTCACCAAGTGCCAAATGGATAAAAGATAAATGTAGCCCTATATGCCTGAAGTCGTGAAGAGGGGTCCTTAATTTTACTTTAATTACTTTACATGGGATGTAAAGTTGAACATGTTCTATTGTGAGATGTTTGTTTGTCTGCATTCCTCTTCTTCTCTTCCACCTTGTACCTCATTGAAGTGGGGGGGGGGGGGGGGGGGGGGGGGGGGGGGGGGGGGGGGATGTAATATATGTTGATGAGCTCTGTCAAGAGCACTATTAAGACTGCTGTTCATTTCTGTAAGGCTGTTCTTAATGCCATCACTCCATATTTTCCAAGGCCTTCCACTCACTCTGTACCCGTTGTAACGTTTTAGTGTGGCTCGCTGTGGCAGATAGTACCAGGGCATTTTTGTTAGGTGTCCAAACCACTTCATTTGGTGTTCTTTGATGACCTGTAAGACTGGCTTTATTCCTAGCATTCGTCTGATTTCATGATTTCGTATTCTGTCTTTCCTTGAAACTCCTGCAGCTCTTCATCACTGTTGCCACAATTTTATGTTCACTGGAGGATGTAAGTGTCAACGCTGTAACGCTGTAAACTCTTAGTTCTTCAACCATTTTTGGATTCTGGCTTTGTTTCAGGACTTCAGTGAAGCATGCAAATTCATTCAACAGATCTGACTCATTTTTATGCAGTCTGCTGGTCTCCTACCTCTGAGGATTTTATTGAGAGTTAAAAGACAGAAGTAGAGAAAGAAGATAGAAAGAAGAGAGAAAAAACTTTAACAACTTGATCTATCAGAATCAAAAAGTTTTTAAAAAAAATGTAAACATCCACTTACGGACTTCCCGTACGTCTGTTGTGATTGTTTCAGACATATTTCCATACCGACCATCCACAGACTTGGCTTGAACACGTATAGCATACACAGTCAGTGGCTCCAATCCTGTTATATCAGCTACAGTATAGGGGCCTGTTTCCATCTGCTGCCACACATACATGGCAGGGGTCGCAAACATATTGTAGAATATCTTATATCCAGACACAGGGGTGTCAGGCTCGTCCCATCGTACCTCAATAGTGGTGTCTGATGTGCGACGGGCTTTAACATTTTTGGGCGGTGGTGGCACTGATAGACAGAAACAGGATATGAATCATTCACATTGTTTAAAAGTAAAAGGTTTTGTGTGCGTGTGTGAGTGTGTGTGTGTGTGTGCGTATGTGTGTGTGCGCGCGCGTTGATAAAGGCATTTTTAAACGTTTGTTTATTGTAAATGTAATATTTGTAAAGCTGACTTATTATACTACATGTTTTTAAAATTTTCACAGCTTTACCACAGTTCACTCCAAATTCTACCTTGTATAGTCCAGTGAGATGATTCAGTAAGCAAATAACGATCGCACAAAACAGTCAAACTATTCAAAACAACTAGATGATTTTCAAAAAACAATTCAAACACATCCCTAGAATGGGTATCTAGACATTTCCTAAGAAGTAAAAAGAGGGCTAGTGTAATTCTAACCACACTGTGTACTGATCTGTTGAAAAATAATGGTTAGCATTATGTACCCTATAGCCCTGATGGTTTGGAAAGAGTGCCTTTATTTCCATATAGACTTCCATTCTAGGTTTAAATGTAAAAGATATAAAATTGGACTAGAAAATAACAAAAGAAGCATAATCTAATATTAGATGCTAAACAAAAATAAACAGCCATTAAAACTAATATTAGAATTGGGTGAATTATTTTTGGATGGGAGAGGGGGGGGGGGTGAATGTTCAGTGTCATTGCATTAGGTTTTTTTTTTTTTTTTTTTGGTCTGATTGTCTCTCCTGAAAGACATTGGTCACCAATAGAGAGCACCCAAACTACAGAGATTATGTAGTTTCAGTAGGGACACCCAAGGTAAACAGGAAACAAAACAGAACCATAAAACAAATGGCAGTCCAAACACAAACTCACAATATTTGTGGCATGACACTAACAGCTTGTATTTGGCTGAATGAACAGGTCTCAGACATGCAAGCATCAAGTCAAATGAATCCAATCAACACAGAGGAACTGATTAGTCAGTTAACATCCAACGGTGACCCAAGAACATTCATTGTTGTATGACAATGATGATGATGAATTGTATGTACTTACTTCTACCAAATGTCCGAAAGTGTAGGCGGTTACTCCAGGGTCCGGCTCCTCGACTTGTATAGGCTTTAATCTTAAAGATGTAATCTGTGTTCATCTCAAGGCCGACCAGGTCGACGAATGTGTCGGTGCTGTTGAGATCCTCTTCATTGATTGGGTCAGACAGTTTATGGTAAGTTATCTGGTACATAACAATGTCACCATTACGTAAATTACGGGCTGGCAAGTCCCAGGTCAAACGTACAGAGGTCTCAGTCAAACCTGTGGCTGTGAAGTTCTGCGGGGCGCCTGAGGGTGCTGTTGGTAAATATCAACAGGAAATGTTTTATAGAGCAACTCTGCAGCTAGATGTTAAATACACGTTTTACGAACAATTTGTTTATTCATAAATGAGGACTCCCCATGTGGATTCCAGGGTCCCACTCAGGGGATGATGGGGTGTGGGGGGCTGACCCTCTTCCTCCCAATAACAAGCTTGCCGTAAGTATATTGCATGTAGCATTAAGAATCGCCATCACAGCACTCAGGACACTCCTATAAGCACTCTCAGCAGCCAGCAAAGAGTACCAATTCCAATGGAACCAGTAACTGTCTGATTGTATATCACTCTTGGGTTTCCCTTGAGTGCTGAACGTTGTCCAGATCCCCTGGTAACTACTTGCAGCACCATTTTCCTCAGACCGTAATGTCCTATTTGTGCTTCCACACTGTTCACTCGCTCACATCTAGCTTGTCATCCATCAATTCACCACCAAGTGGTGCAGAACCGACCAGTCTGTCTGCCTGCTCATTTCCCAATACACCAGCATTACCTGGAGAAAATATCTAAAGGATGCTAACTAGTCAGGACCTCTGAAGTGATGCTTGCAACTCTTCACGGAGCATGCCTATCTCCATCTTTCTCAACATGCTCTGTAAGTCAAAGCATGCCATAAGAGGCAATTAATTAGGGATGTTTCATTTGAAGCTGGGGTTCTTGCTTCTAAGGCAGATGCAAGTTCAGAACTGGATGGCAACCAAAACTTTCACCAGTTTTATAGCGGCTGAGTGCTAAGACAATGAAGAAATAATTAACTGGACACAATAGTACGTAAACAATATATTGCACAATTTATTCCTAGGCATATTTGTCAACATCTTATGAAGTGGATACAGAGTTTGTATCAATTTACAATGTAACACAAATCAGGAATCCTTTACACAGAAGCAAACACATAACATATGAATGAGTTGACCCTCGGTCAAACTCAGAGTGTGATCGGGCAGTCTGACCACAGAATAAACTGGGTCGACTGAGATGAGCTAAGCCCTACGAACCATTAGTAACACGTTATGGCGTGTCAGAGATGAATGCAGGACAGGAACAAAACGCTTGGACAGAGCTTGCTCAGGGGAGACATGTAGTAGGACACTGGACTGGACAGATGTAGGACTGCGACGGTAAAACTTATCTTAGTTTAGTGACCGTTAGATAGAATAGTATTTGTGGTTAGTATTTGAGATAGGTTGTGTTTCCATACAGTGTTTTGAAGAGATAGTGCAACGTTAATGTTTTTTGTGTATTAGACATTCCACGCAGTATCTGTTAAGCAACGAGGTAATGTGCGATACACATTGTTGATGGCGTTAACACTGCCACTCATACTTAAAACATTCACCTTACGTGTGTCACTGAGTCCCGCGTGGCATGGACGGCGGCTTAGTTAGCGCTGCACGACAGTGAGGTGAAATCGTGTCCTTGGTATATCCATGGGAACAGCTCAGGTTGATTAGTGAATGTAAAAGCTATAAACGCCGGCGTTTCGGATAAGGACAGCCACCTTTGTTGAGGCGCTATAAGTTGAATTGTTCTTTGTACATTAAGATTATGTGTGTACTCAGTAGGTGTGTGTTTTAAGTGTGTCCTAGGGTAGTTAAGTCTGTTAGCTGGCCTACCTAAAGAGCCATAGGAAGTAGATTTTAAAGTAGGTCCCTGGCATATATTCCAGCTAGAACACTTCCCATCCAGACAAAAAACCAAGGACAAACTCACACAAAAGCAACACACAATTTTATCTAGATAATGCAATGGATTTGTTCCTTTAAATGTTCATCACTTAACTGAAGATTCCAACTGTAGTTTCACGAATGAGAGCTGTTTTAACCATACCTTTATGCCAATATGTTTGGAATAATAGAACTGAAGACATTATGTTTTAAACTCTTCCCCTTCCCGAAACAAAAGACACTGAATAAAACCAAGAAAGTATGTTACCACCAATAACATATAAATGGAATCTGAGAGATGTACGTACCTCCATCTGGTGTTGTGATTGTAGCCACAGCTCTCTCACCATAATCCACTTCATTCTTGGCTGATACTCTAAATTCATATGTTGTACCTTTATCTGCATGGATATAAACATAAAACTACGCATTACAGTATTATGCTGCCAAAATAAGTATACTGCATTTTATGTTTTTAATGCGTTATATTACTGGGAATTAATATATCAACAATAAAATTAAAGTTAAATTAGGTTTGATAAATTCCTACACAGTAAAATTAATGAGATAATTATTCTAAACGAACGCCTCAAAGTAATGTTAATGAGATAATTATACAGTAGAATATAAGCAACTGTAATATGATGATGTATATATGTCGACTATGAATATACCTAGTGTGTTAATGAGGTAGGAGTAGATCTCAGAGTTTAACAAAATGAACATACCCAGTGTGTAGGTGAGGTAGGAGTAGATCTCAGAGTTTAACAAAATGAACATACCCAGTGTGTTAGTGAGGTAGGAAAAGATCTCAAGAGTTTAACAAAATGAACATACCCAGTGTGTTAGTGAGGTAGGAATAGCTCTCAGAGTTTAACAAAATGAGCATACCCAGTGTGTTAGTGAGGTAGGAATAGCTCTCAGAGTTTAACAAAATGAGCATACCCAGTGTGTTGGTGAGGTAGGAATAGCTCTCAGAGTTTACAAAACGAACATACCCAGTGTGTTAGTGAGGTAGGAGTAGATCTCAGAGTTCAACACGATCTCATCATATCTTTCACCACGAGGTCCCCAAATGATCCGGTAGTTTTTGATATCTCCATGAGTCTCTGCTGGTCGCTGCCATGTGACCTTGACACTCGGTGGGTCATCCTGAACAAGGTTCACATGCAAGCTTCTCGGTGGCGAGGGCACTTTGGACAACAGATTAGACCATGTATTAGATCCATGCCACTGACAACAGAAGCATCTAGCAAGGTTATGTACAAATCTACTTATGTGTACCCTATTTTCTAGATATATGTGGCCTCTATGTATAAGATGACCAATATTTTTTGTTAAAGCCCAAAATTAGAAAATAACTATTGTAAATACATTCCATGTATAAGGCAACTTCCAAATTTACATACAACATTGGGGGGGGGGGGGGGGGGGTGGACAGGACACGAAATATGGTATATTTTTTCTTCTTTTTCTGTGTTCAACCACAGACATAAATATGTTGTGCCTGCTCATATTGCCCGCTGCAATATCTGCGCCTTTCGGACGACACATCTGACTTCTGCAGGCATTTGCTGCCCAGGTTAGCCTTCCCAGAAATATGGTACATCAAATTTGTGTTTGCAGAAACCTACATTTGTAATCAGAATAAGTACCAATGTATCATCATCATACACAACATGTATTCTAAGCCCCTATTCATCTTCTTATGGTTCATGTTACAAGTCTTTTTTCTCAACAGTTTAGTTTACAGTGTTGTATTACATGCTCAGCATCATCAAGTGCCAAGTTGCAGACACACATATGAGCTGACTTGAGTAGAGTCAAGAATTGACATCACAGCACTCGGGGCATTCCCATGCATGCTCCGTCCTCATCTCATTTTCAGCAGCCAGTGCAGAGTTCCAATACTGATGGTTCCAGTCAGTACTTATATGTATTTCCTACACCCAAAAAAACCCCAAAAACATGTAAATATGTTAGTATAGTCTGTTATGTCATGTCCTTAGTCTTAAAACATGCGCTACAAACAAGAATATAAGCAGATGAAGAGTGCTACCTGCTCCTTTTGTGGTGAGTATCTTCTGTCTACTCCTCAGTCCGTCACCCTTTCTGGTGTACGCTGCCACCTGGATCAGGTACCTGGTTTCAGGTTTAAGACCCGTTATCAAAGCATCCGTCTTTGTTGGGTCGTGTGTGTCAAAGCTCTGCTCCCTGGCACCAGGGATTGGCTCATCGTTGCTGTTGGCCTCAATGTAGTGAACCTGTTGGAGACATATAATGTTCATCTGTAACTCGTTTGGGCATCAAAATAACAAAAGCTCTGCATTAGCCCTTATGAGGCTGGTTTTATTTGCCTTTAAAAGGTTAGTTAGTATACCATGTTGTAGTTTAATGCTAGGCTGCGACACCTTGTCTTTAAGCCATACAAATATTTTTTTTTTTTAAACTTTAAACTTTTTGTGATAAAAGATGTTTCCTTCAAAGTCAGAGTGCATCTGCCTGAAAAGTGAGGAACCAACAGTCTGCATACAAAAAAAGCTAGCTCTGTGGACATGCACACAAAACTAAAATTATGGAACCAAAGTTTAGTTCAGAAATGGATGAACAACCACAACTTTCTGTTGGAGTTTACAACCAGTGAATGTGAGGCAGCAGCCGGAGGCGAAAAAGAAGACGGAGGAGGAAGAGGATGCGGAGGAGCAGAAGGAGAAGTAGAAGAAGAAGGAGAAGAAGGAAGAGGTGGAGAAAGAGAAGAAGAAGAAAAAAGGAGGAGGAGAAGGAAGAGAAAAAGAACAAGAAGAATATGTATGTAAATGAGTGTGTTTGTTTGTGTATTTTTATTTGTGTGTGTGTGTGTGTGTGTGCACATGAATGCATATATTTGTCATTCATACTTTTGTGTGTGTGCTTAATATATTCTGTACTATTTCTATATGTAATTATTTAATTGCACCAGACTCAAATCATGTCTAAGACATGCACATACCTGGTAGCCTCTAATGACACCATTCTGTTCCTTGGCTTGTGGAGCATCCCATTCCACAAAGATGGCGGTGGAATTGACTGCTTCCACTCTGACTTTCTTCGGCTCTCCGGGAACTGGAATATTATATGCTGGTGTTAGAATCACAGACATTCATATACAAACAAACACGGTCTTATGCATTTTCACAGTTTAAAGAAGGCAGCTTGCAATAGTAGGCTACAACCATGACCACAATAAACACATGTAATTATATCTTTTTTTATCTTATTTTCCCTATATCTTGTATTTATCTTATCTTTCCTTAACTCTTTCAGTCCCAAAGAACATGCAATGTGTGATGAGATAATCCTTGTAAGTCACAGCTTTGTTTTATTTACATTTGGTCAAACCACATTTGAAAAATCTGGCCACTGAAAGAGTTAGGTATATTCGTCATCATCCTGTTGTGCTACTGTAGGTCCCCATAGGACTTGCCCTCTATTCCTACACTCTGCGGAAGTATACTAGAGGTAATTTAATCTTTAACCCTCTATACTTCACAGCAGCATGACTTAATCATCGCCTAGGGCACTTCCCATCCAGCATAGTTTTTATTTCATTATTTTAGTTACGGCCCTTGCCATTCACATATTGTATTTCCAGGACATCTAGGAAAAATAATTTTCTTTAATGTTCAGACCAGAATCGACCTCACTGACAATGAAAGAAAATTCAAAAAATAATTATGTATAAAAGAAGACAATATTTAACTTTAGAATTGGGAGGAAACCTGAATTATTTAGATATTTATGACAAAAACTAAGTGAACAACCGGGCAAGGACTAAAAAACTCAGTAAGTACAGAAGCACTGCATACCACAATGTAAGAGAACTGACTGCTGAAAATTTGAGAAGACAATGAACACTTCACTAATCAATAAACATCTTGGACACAATAACTAGAGACCATACTTGCAGTTCAGTCTACCTCTCCTATAATAAAAACAAACAAATGCTCTAGACCAGGTTCTGCAGACTGAATACAAAACACTCACACAGATGGATACAAATATCGCTAGCCCCATAACTTATAAGTAATGAGGAATACAGAGTGGTTTGTACACCAGCTTTTTAACTCTTTTGGTACCAAAAAAAGGCATCATGCCTAAGAAATATAATGTTGTTGTCTTTTATCACAGACAGTCACTGAATTAACCTTTTCGTATTTTTTTTTAAAAAATAAGCTTGAATTATGTTTGAAACGCACCTGACGAGATACAGTGAAATATGCCTGGCAATAAATTGTGCAATGTATTGTTTGTGTCAGCATTATTTAAATTCATTACGGGGAAACATTGTTTTGAATGTTTGAAATTGTTCGTTTGTCTCACTGACTGTCACTACTTCTGTCCCATGGCGTCTACGTTAAACTTCAGTTCAAAATCTTGACTGTTTGTAAGGCCTGTTCCTTGGGACGGGGGAATGAAAGTATCAACTGACTGAAACTGAACACACTGAGGGTTATTCTTCAATCCTTCTATCAGAAAGCTAATATGTGGAGGTCAGTTACCTTTATTTATGAAAGCTATCCTGCAGTGCATATCTCCCCAAGTACCATACAGCTTTGTCTTCATAGTGGTTGGAACAAGCCACATTACCTTTCTGTTGGCAGCATTAATCCTTAGTGGGTACTTGAGGTTACCTAATGATCTTTTCAAGCTATAACTCCCCATATTTCTTTTCCAATCTGCTCCATTCTGTTGAGAGTGGGCATTAGACAAAGGGACAGCAGCTGATGTAATTACTGACCACCACATTTCTTGTGTGGTATTGGGTTGTGGGGAAAATATAAACATGAAATATACACAAACAGCCCTACTTCAACGCATTTGCATGAATGCAAATACTGTAAATAAAATATTTTCTTACTAATCAACGCACACTTAATGATATATACAAAAAGCACAAATAATAAAAAGACAAATGACATCTATATTTAATATCTACAGACATATATTTATATAATACACACAAAACATAGGGATATCTGCCACATCTCATATAGATACATAAACAACAATTTTATATAATAATTACATAATGCATGCAAAATATATATGCTCAAACTACAAAAAGGGACACCAATTTTTTTTTTTTTTCTGAGACTGTGCAACAAAAAACACTGAAGAAAGCTGTAATAATTTCCCAGAAAATAAAAGAAAGACATTCAATAAAACAAAATGCAACAGTGACAACAAGGTATCGTGCAGTTACATCTTGTGCTGTACATGATTCTGCTGATTGGAAGCTCAAAATAGGAAAATGGATAAACACCAATGGTATACTGATGAAGCAGTTCCAACAATGCTGGCTTGGATACTCACTGGATGGTCAGTCATGGTTGAGAGGTCAGACACGGTTGAGAGGTCAGACATGGTGGCTGCTGCTACAAAATGTTTTGGTACTGACTGCACGCTTGATCAAGTGCCAAGAACAGTGTGCGTATTAATGGAAGAATATTTAAATACAAAAACCTGATCAAACAGTTCTAAAATGGAACAGGCACAGTGAGAGAGCGAGAAGACAGAACTATGAAGTGGTGGTACCTTGTTCGCTGGTTTCATTTTCTTGCTGCATTGACAAGGACACATCAATAAATAACATCAAAATAAATGGACCAGAGCTGGAGATTTGAATCTCATTCAACAAAGTGAAAGAAAAGAACTCTGAATCAGCAATTTCAGGAGGCTGAAACCAATACACCAGAAAGGCTAACCCAGAAGACAAATGCCCAGAGAAGTCAGATTTATCGGCCAAATCGCTAATATATCACAGTTACACTGTAAACAGGCACCTCACACATATGTCACTCAGATATATGAAAGGAGGATGACAAGAAGGAGGAACCTAAACTGAAAGATAAAAACATACCACAGTATATAAGATAAATTACAGCAAATACTGCTTACTTCTGTATTCCACAGAAAACTCAGACATACAGTACTTCATGAAGACAAGAACATTCTAAGAACTTCCAGAGAACAAAAAATCTGGTTTGATGCAGCGGGGTCAACCCTGAGCTATAGTGGTCAGATTTTTTTTTTTTTTTGTTGTTGTCTGCCCCTGCTGGGGAATGAACTCAGACCACTATCTTGATTAGCAAGCAATAGGCTACCACTTCTACAAGAGATCTTCAGGGTAGACAATATTCTGAAATGAAAGGGAAAAGTCCTGAAAGAAAAATTCTGTCCAGATGCAGATACTTGTGGAAAGAAGTTGAACAAATTGTAATGAGAACAATCTCCTATGTCCTGGAAGAATGGAAAAGATCACTGGATAACATCAGTGTGTATTAATTTACTGTTAATCCAATGCCTTACTAGCACCAGTGTTTTCAAATGCTCTTTATTTCCTTGTCACAATGAAAGTGCAATTAGATAGCAACAATAACAGAACCATCATATACAGAAATTTAAAAAATAAAAAGTTATAAAATGGCATAAGACAATTCAAATTTAAGAGAATACCAAAACAAACATAGCTACATGAAAGATTTCTTAAAATTGTAATTTTTAAAACACATAAGAATCAGAAGGGAAAAAAATCGTTTTAAAATGCATCCTTTATAAAAACTATATAGAGGAAAGAAAAAAATTGATCGGGAGCTAAGTATCAGTAAAGTGTAGAGATAAAGATGAGCCCCAATACAGACACTAGAATAAGGATTAAAAGTCACAGAATATTTCAATAACCAAAATCTGATCATGCTCAGGACATCAGTATGAGAACACATCTATTCTACATTTTGTTTAATTAATGTTGATTTAATGAAAAATCGGCATACAACCTAACTGAAGATAAAGCAAAGAAATGTAGCCAGAATCTCAGCTAAGATAGTGCCAAGAAAGAATGCTGACCATATATCATAAAACAGGCTCACACACAGCAGCAGTGGGCCACAACATAAACTCACGGGAGAAACCATCTCCAGACAATCCACACTGTCTTTCTGTGGAATTGTAATTATTCTGGATATTTTATTAACCGGGTTTCTCTTGTCTGAACAGATATAGTAAAGTTCCCTTTTCATGCCTTTCGGCGCATCGGGCATATGGGCAGAGTGTCCCATATTTTTACAGACCATCAGCACTCTGTGGGTAATGTGGTCAGCATTACGCCGGCTGTCTTTACTTTCCCAGGACAGCCCATCCTGGTACCCATTTTAAGCTGGGTCGACCTGCGACGTCCCATACCACGACAAAAATCCACGCAGCTTGCAGTGGGTTTCGATGGCGGTATGCTGGCTTACGAGTCGGACTTGCAACGCCTTAGCCACGGACGCCGCTCTGAACAGAGATGCCGAACTAAATATGTTCTGTTTTGTGTGCTTCACAACTTGAATAAATACAATTGTGTGTTTATATTACAAGTTCTCAACGCAGTTTTTTGATGATTTCTTGCTGAGCAGAGGGCATGACTATAAATAGTTTATAACCAATTTGTTGGGTTTCCCTAAACTTATTCCTTCTTATGCTAGCAGCATTGCCAGAAATGGAATGATGACATAAGTGAATACCTTTAAAAGAAACTTTTAACAACAGGTCTGCATTACGTGTGGAAAACACAGAACTGGCCAAACAAGTGACATGACTACTCCTTCAGTAGGTAAAGTAATGCTGATCAAAGGTGACATAATGATGCCAGAAAATGCAATGACATTTTGCAATCGTCTGTTTCCAGCTGTCACAAGAAAATATAAATAATAATTTCCACACAGTTTTAAAGGAAGGAAACAGAGAAGAAGACAATACTGATGACTGCTGACAGCCTTTTGTAATGACATGACAGATGTCAGCTCACAAGACTATAATGGCATGACAGATGTCAGCTCACAAGACTATAATGGCATGACAGATGTCAGCTCACAAGACTGTAATGGCATTGCAGATGTCAGCTCACAAGACTGTAATGGCATGACAGATGTCAGCTCACAAGACTGTAATGGCATGACAGATGTCAGCTCACAAGACTGTAATGGCATGACAGATGTCAGCTCAGCTCACAAGACTGTAATGGCATGACAGATGTCAGCTCACAAGACTGTAATGGCATGACAGATGTCAGCTCACAAGACTGTAATGGTATGACAGATGTCAGCTCACAAGACTGTAATGGCATTGCAGATGTCAGCTCACAAGACTGTAATGGCATGACAGATGTCAGCTCACAAGACTGTAATGGCATTGCAGATGTCAGCTCACAAGACTGTAATGGCATGACAGATGCCAGCTCACAATACTGTAATGGCATGACAGATGTCAGCTCACAAGACTGTAATGGCATGACAGATGTCAGCTCACAATACTGTAATGGCATTGCAGATGTCAGCTCACAAGACTGTAATGGCGTGACAGATGTCAGCTCACAAGACTGTAATGGCATGACAGATGTCAGCTCACAAGACTGTATTGGCATGACAGATGTCAGCTCACAAGACTGTCACATCATGTTGGAGATCACAACATGTGGAAGAGCATATTCACATATGTTGGTCAGCAAGGCAGAGTGGATTGGTTCTAACAAAGATGTCTCCCACAGTTCTGTCAAGCAGAAACAATGGAATCGTCATATAAGTTCGGGAGCTCCATTGTGGGGAGGAAACGAGAATAGACCCATTGCCTCCCTAATAAGTATATCGTAAGAGTCGACTAATGAGGGTGTTATTTAAGTCTGAGTGCATCTGCCTGAGATTAAAAAAGAACCAACAGTTTGCTTCCAAATAAACCACATTTGTAAAAAGGATGTGCATGAAAAACTCAAATTGTGGAAAAAGAAGAATAAACAGCTGGTGAAGATGAAGAAGAAAGAATGGAAATGGCAACAGACAGACTCTGCAAACAAGAAGGCAAGCAGTTACGGAGATCATCTTGTAAGTTGCCCACACAATGACTTATTCTTAAACAAGCTTCCTACCATGATGCTGAAAATACACAGCAGGGAAAGTGGAAGCAAAGAAAGATAAATTATTTATTTCTCCGTCACATTCACTAATTCAGGATAGTAACATTATGAGGGTTAACAGACTGAAATGGGTGAGGTATACTGAGAGAAAGTCAGATGACAGAGAGGTTAAAACCGTGTACACAAGGCAGTTGAATTGTCGTAGACCAAAAGGTAGACCAAGAAGACGATAGAGAGATAATATCCAGATAGACCAACAAACAGTTGGTGTCACCAACTAGAAAGAGAAGGCCAACCACAGAAATGAATGAAAAAAATGAACCATTACAGTCTTTATCTGTCCAGCTGGTGATTCCAAGTGTTTGTTGGTCTGAATTGATATTATCTCACCATTGTGTAGCAATTTTTGTCTCTTCCCTATCTGCAAATCTTTCTATATGCCTCATCAATGCAGTCTATATGACCTCATGATGCTAGTATCTAGTGGCGAATTGGACAATTAATTGTTGCTTCTCACTCTTTCTTCTCTGCTGTTTGCATCTTTGATGTGTACAAAAGTGTTACATACAACCTGGCAAAATGAGTGCATCTGTGTGACAACAACTGCAAAAAAGAACCACCTGCACTTCAGAGATTTCAACTTGCAAGTTAGTACAATACTTAAAACTCACAAACACACGAAATCATACAGACTGGAAGAAAACAAAAGAGAAACTCAACCAAATGAAAACAAACTAGGAACTCAAAGTGGTTAGGTGAACAATCACAATCAAGAGGTGAGTGATGGTTTGGGAGGTTTACTTCTGAATTCATTATACACTCGGCTAGTACAGGGGACACAGTACTAGTGGCTCAGCAATCACAATGCAACTCACACACACAGAGGAAAGGCTGACAGTGTGTTATCACAAACACCAGCAAACTGAAACAAAACTCCAAGATGGTCATGAAACTGGTGGGGATCTTGAGGAGCACAAAATGTAACTTCAAGAAATGCTTGAGAAGACAACAGTTAGGCATCCAAGACCTATTTATAGCCATTCCACAAACCAGCCAGCCAATCATGTCAGGAGAACAAGAAAACATGGCCAATCATTCGCAGTTACCTACCATCTTCATCAGTCTTGATGACAACTGGTGCTGATGGTGGACCGTCTCCAACTTTGTTGAAGGCAACAACCCACACTTTATAGTCAGTCCAGGTTTTCAGCCCGTCTATGGTAACTGACAGTTGGTCTGCTCCCACCATCTTCTCAACCGCATCTTTATCTGTCTTCCCATTGCCGTTCTCTACAGCGTACACTTTATAACCTTCCAGTTTGCCATTCTGCTTTTTCGGATCTGGGGGCTTCCAAGTGACATGAATTTCTTTCTCACTGACAGCACTCCCGCTAACGTCTTCAGGTGCAGCTTCTGGAGCTAATGGGCAGGATCAGAGTTACAGAAAGTGCAGGATGGTGTGGAAAACGTAAAACAGTCGACGGATGTGAGTATGCAATAAATGAACAAACAAATAATATATTAAAACAAATTAGGAACAAATTTATCTCCCAAAAATAATAAATCATACAAATAAAATGATTTAATAATTTTTTTTCTCCCAAATTGGCGAATAAATATCAATGGAAAGCTTAAATGGCACATAAATGATGTCAGTACGTGGTGGGCATAATTTGTGTGTGTGCACAGGAAGTGAATGAAAACAGGAGATGTGTCACTACTGCACGTGGTACAGTACACAGAGTTTTAAAATGACCTGTAGTTACAGGAAATCTTACTTTGTAAAGGATTTCATAATTTGTTTTATAAACCTTAATTTATCATGTAAGAGTTAATATTAGATTTGATTTACTGTGCAGATTTAATTTACTGTGTAAATATCTAGTTTTATCTGTTAAGTAAACAGTTCAACATGTAGTGTAAAAAACCTATATAATTTATTGTGTAATAAATAGTTATCGCACTTGCCACGTAGTTTACTACATTGAACTAATGTAATTCATTGTACAAATTGTTATAATTTCAACTTTTACGTAAATAGTTTACAAACTGCACAAATTAGTTCACTATCACTGTCACTATTGTAATCCTTTGCATAATTAAAAAAAAAAACCCAATCATCTTCATGCACAGTGTTGTCACTGTCCTATACCCACCGTAATGACGATCATCAATCCCTCACTTTTTTCTCCAGCAAACACTTCTTTCATTGCTATTCTTCCCAAACTTATTAATTTTAATACTGCCAAAGGATTCAGTTTTCAAGAAGTGATATTATCTACCAACCAATTGCCTTCAATGTTCAGATTATGTAGAATGTCCGTATCAATTTCTGTATCCATTTACTGTGATCATTGATCAATAACAGCATCCATTTTTGTCTGGGTGGACATAGGACAGTTTTTGAAATGAACAGTCTACTAAACTCCAACCAGACCAGCAGCCACATTTGCTCGCCACTGCACCATGTGTGGACAGTGCTTCTGAAATATTTCTGAGTATGTGAGTTGGTTATTTGTTGTCTTCCTCTCTTGAGGAAGCATTGATCAGAATGTCAGTATTTGTATCCTTCATTGTTTACATTATTCTAAACAAATATTTCTGTAATATTCAAGGGCCTTTTTTTTTTCATCATTGTAGCAAAAGTCCTGTGTAAATAATAATCAGAATATTAGAACCATAATTAACATATTGTTAAGTAGAGTCTGTGGTTAGTTTGTTATCTTAATATACTGAGGTAAATTTTGATTGTGAATTAATTGGATTTTTGAAGAATATGTTAATATACTGATGACTTTAATTTGTTCATTACGTAACTTGGTATTGTTCATATGATGTCACTGCACACATTAAAAAGTTTGTTATTGTTACTGTGGTCGATTATCTTCATTAATGTGTCTTTAGTACCGATGAAGTATATTATGTCAATGTGATGAAATCAATTACAAGCTACAAGCTTTTTAAATACATAAATCTGTGTCTTCTACAGATAGTCTTTGTATTTTATTATGTACATTCTTTGGAAAGAATAGATCTATCAACAGAAAAGTGAAGACAAAACCTAATTAACAAATAAACACATGGAGTGATAGAAATTCTCATAATGAATGAGATAACACCATATTAAGCCCAACATGGTAAAGGCATGTGACCCAATGATTTATAATAATACTTTCAATTACAGAATAGTTTCAGTACTGTATGTGTTTTAGTACTGTAAATGCATACATTTAAATAAATAGTATGTGAGTTTCAATAATAGTTGTGTTTAGTATTTCATATCTTTTAACAATAAAGGCAAAAAAATTAAAAATATTGAAATATTACTTGATCATGTTATAATTTTTTTTTTTTTTTATTTAATCCATAACATTTTATTTGTTGTTATAATGAGTTCTATTATTAATACCATTAGATGAAAGGACCTTTGCTCTCTGCATATATCTTCTACTAGTGAATGGGTTTGAAATGGCACAAGATGACTTTTACAGATTCAGTCAAATCCAGCAACAGATTAAGGACCCTTATCGATGCCTCCAGGCTTACTGGGCATATAGGGCTAGACCTATATTTTATAGGTTTGTTGGCTGATGTTTAGTTTAAAAATTAGACTAAATAAAAGGTGGGGTGTCATATATGTGGAGTTTTAATTTCAGATGATTTATAACCACAGATAAGTTAAAATATTAGATAAAGTTTAACTGATGATACTCATAAAATGTTGTTACTAACACATTCATCATGTTTCACTGTGATTCCAATGGCTGCTAATAGTACATAAATTTCACACAGCCAAGATTCAATGACAGATGAAAGATCTGTACAGACAAGACCTGCAGATTCAAAATCTGTATCACCCAGATATAAGATACAATAAGATATCACAAACATCTACAGTTCTAGGCAATCTTCTAAGATCATTCCCATGCAAAGGGCTTACTTCTAAATGAGCATAAGACAGGCCAGATAGGTAAACACGTATTGAAATAATAACACTGATCATGTTTTAATCTCCCTTTGCAGTAAAATCAGTTAAACTTTTAAAACATATGATTGTTATCTTTTATAATTTCACTAATCTAACAGACATTTGAAAAGTTGGTACTGTTTCATTACTGTTAATATAATAAAACTGTTGAAGGTAAAAGACTCAATTATGTTAATATTTCCAAGAGTGAGTTTGTTTATTCTTTAGACTGTCAATAAAAAAAAAAATTGTTAAATTATTTAGTAAGCAGTGGTGAGTCCTTGTGGTTGTTTGTGTCTACAGTGGGAGTATGTCTGTGTGAATGTGCCCATCTACACAGGTATACAGCACCAATTTTCTCCCATTCTCTTTTTAAACTTCTTTCTGTCCAATTCTACTAGGCTCACAACTATATATTCGCGTCTAAAACCAGCTCTTGTGTCTGTATCTTTCACTTTGCCCATTAGTACCATATTTATGCCATCAGTTTAATGGAATGGCTTTGCTTCCGGCTTCACTATATTTCCCTCTCTAGTTTTTAAAGGATGTGTGAAATACACTTCATTCTTTGTAGCATTTTATTCTTTGAACTTTCTTTAATTATATATATATATATATATATTCAAAAAATGTTTTTGAAAAAATCTACTGAAATTTAACACAGATTATATTAGAAAAATTAGATTTTAGTATAACTGAAGCTATTAAAACACTGACGAGACTGGGAGACAGGAATCTATTTTGTTTTGGGGAGAAAGGATTTAAAAACAAAACAGGTTCAAATGCACAAGGACAGCACTTTTATAGAAGTAATAATCATTCAGGGATCAGACTGACAAGGAATTGACTTTGTGGTGGGTACAGGTGACTGTGAGAGCAGGACGAGGCATGGTAGACCTGGCAATAAACAAAGGGAAAGTCCTTGTGTGCTGCTCTTCACGGCAGAAGTACTTTTCCTTTTCAATATTAAATTATGAATTAATCAGGAATTGGCATCACTGCAATCGGCACATTCCCATATGTGCTCCGGTTCACTCCTCAGTAGCAAACAAAAAGTCAACATCATGATAACAGTACTGGTTGTAACCTGATGAAAAGTCTGCCTACATTTGATCTCAGGGCTTAGTATCTTCTAGATATGGTATCTTCCAGATCTCTACTTGCCCCCTCTCCCACCCAGTGCCTTTGAATTAGAATTTTCAGCATATGCTTCTGTTATACTGCAGTACCCATTTGATCCCAGACAGCCTTCACCACCTCCCTTCAACATAAAGTAGGTCACCACCCAAAGGGGCAGCAGCCGCCAATCTATCAGCTTGCACATTACCAGCACAACAGTCAATAATATGCAGCATGACCTTTTGGGACAAACTGGCATACATTTATGGCCAAAATTCTACCTTTAATTCTAGACAGAAAAAGCATGGTGACAGACCTGGGCAAAGCTCTCCATATCCTTCAATGAATTTCAGAATATTATGGAAACTGTTTGGGAAAGAAAGGTGGTTAAGAAGAGAACTAGCTACCTGTATTAAAATTGGGCATGAACATGTGACGACCTGACAAGTCACAACCCAGTGGCATTCTTTGCTTTGAAGTCACATTTACTTTTGCCCAGATGAACTGAGTTATCACCTGTCTCAGCCTATCAAGTCACATAATGTTGGACAACTTGAAGGGGTTAAAAAATGACACAAACAGTAAGACCAACTTAACTCTTTACATCTTATGTGTTATCACGTGGCATGCATATCGGCCAAAACACTGCCAATTAATTTAGATGTAGCAGGCATGGTTTAGATGCTAACTGTTTTATACAGGCTTCAGTAATTTAGTTACAACAGAATTCAGAAATGTCCTAAATTCAACAAGAAGAGAATAGATCAGAAATTACAACAACAGGAAACAAGTTTTGACATTCCAGTGCTAAACTGCATCAAGAGATCAAAAGAAATAGTTTGGACATGTGTAAGGACTACAACAAGATACTGCATCACTGACTGCCCATCACTTAGACCAATGGAAGATAAGCTAGGAGTTAGCCCTGCAAGCAATGCATAGATGGAATATCTGAGGTCATAAATACCAGCATCTATGTGGCATACACCAAGGGTCGCTCCAGATGCCTCTTCAAAACCTGACACCGAAATGCAGAACAGGTCTAGAGGAGGAGAAGAAGAAATAATAGGGAATAAAGTAAAGGACCCTTTTCGACACCTGCAGGGTTGTCGAGCATGGAAGGCTAGACCAGTATTGTTAACTCTTTCAGTCCCAAGAAACGCACCACACATTCATAGGTTCCTACCCAGAAGCCCAATGAACGCATGATGCGCCGATTTTATGCTCATTTTACTACGCCTTGGACTTGTGATGCTCAACCCTGTGGGACTCAAAGAGTTAAGACTAATTGGCACTTTGTACCTTTATGAGGAAAATGATAGTGTAATATAAAGGATAACCTAGTGAGACTGACTGAAAAAAAGGGCAATTTATCAAATCTGATTTTATGAATTACTGAAGGCAAAGAACAATGAATAAATTCCTAAGACATTTACAGGCAGAAACAAAGCAATATTTGTACAGGAGAGATATGTTCCCACAGTTCAATAAACAATAAACTCGGCACTGATTAACCAAACATATCATATGTTAATTGAATGCACACCAAAGGGTTACTTATAATGAAATGCCTATCTAATGTTAATTATAATTAAATGCAAAGTTCAAGTTAAATTAGGCACATATCTACAGGCTACTTTTCCCTTAATAAAAAAAGTGACGCTATTCAGCTGCTAGTTTACCACTTGTGTGAAATTCACAAGTCATTTAATATCACTCTTTCCTTGTTCTTCTTCTTTTGTCCTGGTACTTTTGCTGTAAAGTCTCAGAGAGGACTTAGATGCAGTTTTCTGTCTTGTGCTAGTGGTAGCTGTCATATTGTCATATTGCTGAGTTGTAGTGTCTCTTTCACTCCCTCCACCCATCTTTATCTTGTATGATCTAGCTGCTATGTTCCATTTTGACCAGATGACCAAACCATTTGAATCTTTATGTTCCATGACATCCTTTACCAGTACTGTATCTACCAGGGTTCTTAAGTTCTTCACTGGTGACTGTCTCTTGGTGTTAGACTGCATCCATTAAATGTCAGTAAGACGTGAATCTGGGAAACTGGCTGACAAAATCAATCACAAGAACAATGTGGATGGAAGAGAGTGGAAGGCACATGCCGGGCAGATGGGAGATAGTAACTAGCATACAGAAGTGATCATACACTTTATTTAATTTAAGTCTTCATCACTGTGTTAGCTTATTCCTACAATGTATACATCATTTTGTGTTAGACATATTTGTGCAGTCTATGCACTGTTATGTACCAGAGTTTTATTGTCCATTGTCCTATTATCTGCAAAAATGTTATTCCTATTGTCCATATACTATAATCTGCAAAAATTGTATTCCTATTGTCCATATACTATTATCTGCTAAATTGTTATTCCTATTGTCCATATACTATTATCTGCTAAATTGTTATTCCTATTGTCCATATACTATTATCTGCCAAATTGTTATTCCTATTGTCCATATACTTTAATCTGCAAAAATTGTACTCCCATTGTCCATATACTATTATCTGCCAAATAGTTATTCCTATTGTCCATGCACTATTATGTACCAGACTGATTATTCCTATTGTCCATGCACTATTATGAAGTAAATCAGCCTTTTACATTTGGTGGTAAAGAGACACACAAATAACTAAACCCCCCCCCCCCCCCCCCCCCCCCCCCCCGCTCCCTTTTTTTCCGCCACTCTTTCCCCCCAGGGGTCAGCAGAACAAGTTTCAGGGATCCCTGACATCTAGGTTTAAAAAAAAAAAAAAATCATTTCACTTTAGAATGCAATCCTTTAGGCAATTCTAATATTTATAAATAAATTATAAAAATGTCTTCAGTATAACTATTAAATAGTATGGGCTCTCTGGCAGACCTTCGGGGGAAAAGGGGTCCACCGATTTTAGCTAACTTGGAACCTTCTGCATTAAATTATATCTAAATAATAAGCATCAATATTTTATTATTCAGTAAGTCCATGTATCATTATGTGCTAGTTATTTCTACTGTGTATGAACAATTACGTAAACAAAAAAATATTTACTTAAAAATGGTCTTCTTGTGTTTATTTATTTAATCTTACTTATTTACTTATAATGCTTTAATACATAAGATGTCCACTGCATTTAGAATTACATGAGGCTGTGGGGATACATATGTGCAATGCCTTTTATATTGTTCCCCGGTAAACTAAATGTACCATCAACTACTATTTTTGTGCACTAGTATTCTCTACAATACTTTTGGTGTAGAATTTACCAATGTTATTATGGTTTAGTAAAAATGGATGAATTTCATCATAAATATAATAAGTTCATATCAAATGATAACACCACAAGGAAAGGGGGAAAAAAGGTAATTCATAGTCGGGTTTTTAAAAACATCAACACTAACAAACAAAAACTAAACACTACACACACAGAAGGTAGGGAACAAACAAAACTATACATATAGAAAACTACTTTTATTATTTTTAACAATGTAATTTATGTTTAACTGATGCAGGTGTGACTGCTATAATTAGATTACAGATTACATTAGATTACTATGCTGATAAGTAATTTCAAAAGCTATGTATTCCATTAAATTCCGTTTTTGCCTTCTTACTTAAATTATCCTTTAATGTAAGTAAGCTTTAGGAAAAATGTTTTTTATCAAACTATAAATTAATTTTAACTGACAACAGAATTTACAAAAAAAAATACATGTTTGCAGGTTACATTTAGAACTTAGAATCATTGAATAATTATGACTGTGAAATACCTACAATATTCAGTATACATTTGAAAAAAACAATTATACTGACAATAACTCATAGAAAAGCACTCACTGAATGGAGGTGTATGAACCTGGACTGTGGGCGTACGAGGTCCTTCACCACGTGCAGATTTTGCTGAGACCTGGGGAGACGTTCCACAATGATGTTTTTTTAGGTACAGTAATTTATCAACAACCCTGACAGAACCAGAATTTGCAATTAGAAGAAACAAGAGTGAGTGCCCCTGGCATAGACAAATGAAGAAACTGTAGTTCTTGGCAACTTTCTGTCTTTCAAAATGACAGTGTTGTATTGCGTTAAAACAGGAAGATCACTAAGGGCTTCTTTCAAGAGCACAAGGCAGTAGGATAAATACCAGGTGATGTCCAAGCAGCATGATCTCTCTCTTATTTACTCCAAAAAAAAAATATTACCAATATGTTTGGAACGAAAATATACAGAGGCTGTCAGATCAGAAAAGAAGTGCACTGTTGCCAGTACAAATCCTAGTTAAATGGTTGCTAAAGGCTAGGGACACAGTTTAAGCCTGACTGGATGTGGAAGATTTAGTGAAAACTACTATATTATTCATCAAAAGACACTTATCACAACACATGGTTTCTGAAACAAACAAAAAACAGGAATGATCAGCACAAAGGTGGATACACAGTTGAAAAGCTGACTTCACACAATCTGGGACATTCCCATTTGCACTCTATCCCCAACTTCAGCAGCCAGTGAAGAGAGTTCCTATGCCAAAGGTACTATTAGCATTTTGAGTATAAGTCTGTCTTGCCTTTTCTCTGAATGCAGAGTGTCTACTAGATCTCCTAGTCACTTCCAGAAGACATGTGTTTGCTACAGGGAATTCCCAATGTGTTATGCATGTATTCACATAAAAGCACTCCAGTAAAGTCTTAAAATCCCAAGTGTGTTATGCATGCATGCAACATAAAAATCACTCCAAAGCAATAATTCCCAAAAATGCCATTCATGAACTGAACAATGCGGCCCCATAACATTAACCCACCACCTTCCCAGTATGAAGCAAATGACTGATCCTTTTAGCTACAGAAACCCTCAATGCATAAGGTCTGAGTGAACTTAGCTGTCAGATCATCTTGTTTTTGAGTCTCTGCAACAAGACAAAAGTCAAGAAGTGGATGAACAACTAGGGCTTTCCACAAGAGTTTACAGATGGTGAACAAGAAAAGATAAAATATACCCCAACACAAAGAACAACAGCCCTTGGGTTCAAAGATACCATAGACAATGACATACCTAGTAAGTTCATAAGGCAACATCTACCACTATCAGTGTTACCTGTATATGATAGACTGTGTCAGGTGTCAAGTTGATGAGTCTGTAGTTGTGAACAGGGGGATCAATGCTGACCCTCCCGTTCTGTCTGTAGTGGGAGTCATTGAAGTAAAGCTCATAACTTTTGATGCTGTCGGCTTCCTGTGGGGGTTCCCACTTCACCAGGATCACATTTGGGGAGATGGGTTCTGCTACCAGGTTCAACGGCTGGTAGGGCACTGGAAAATGAAGAGGACACGATTACTCACCAGATATACAAGAATCAATACAATCCACTCTAGTATTCCTATACACTATGGCATTTAGAAAGATATTAAAAGGGATACATATATAAGTATCTTAGACAGGTACCTTCATATAAATGCTAAGGTAACGTTTCAAGAACTAGTTCACTGTATTTATAAGTTTGCTAACCTTTTTATAACTCCTTCATCAGCTTTTGCTTGATAACAAAATCTATTTATTGACAATTTTATTTTCAGGTTAAATCTACCAGAACAATGCTAATATTGGTTTGATTCACTGGTTGGCTCTTATCATGTGCAGAATCAGCCAGTCCATCTGCAATTTCATTGTCTAGACACCTCCATGACAGATTAGTAAACAATTCTTCAGTGATACCACAAACAGTTCAGTGATTTAAGAATTGACTAGCACACCGGACATACCCATAGGTGCTCCATCTCCCACAACAAATGTCTTAAGGTGTGGTTGCTAACAGTTCCCATTGCACACTGATTTTAAACCCGTCTGTTCTCTTCCTCTGAGATGTCCCTACTGACCGATCCACACCTAATTCCTCTTGTTTACACATTCTTACATGTGTTATTCCATCTAAGCTTATGTCTTCTATTAGGACACAGATTTAAATTTACTTTTTTTTAATACAGATTTTCTTTGGCCGTATCCTTATGGTCAAGGATGTCAGACAAAGAACGATTGACTGCTCCAGTGTGTAAGTTGTAACTACAGCCATGTCAGGTGGTAGGGACTCAGCATAAAAATGAGCAGGCTGATAAACCACCTCTTCAACTGAAGTTTAACTGGGGCCAAGTACCACTGACTGCTAATTCTGCCTCTACAATGCTTTTGAGAAGATGTACAGGACCTGTACACAAACGAATAAAACAGATGAGAGAGTCATTATTCCAGAAGACATGCTCAAGCTTGGAGACACCTCTGCTCCCCGGATTGACTCTGTAAAAGAAACAAATGAAACATTAGGATATTTGCAGCTGAGAGCTGGTTCCATGCAAGCGCTGCGAGGCTAAGGAGTGTACAGAAATGCACCGGTACAAATGTCAGACACAAACTGAATGTACGGAGCAGACCTACTGATGCACGCCAAGGAGCATTGGAGCACGCCGGGGAGCAGAGACTTAGAAAACGCTGTTCAGCGCGGCCATGCATGGAATGTGCCTACTGTATGCTGCGCAGCTGCATAGATCTCGCTGCTGGATAAGATAATGACAGCTGTCTACACATAGTGCTATAAACTAAAGCATGATCGCAGGTTAACAGCCAACTTAATTTTGCCTTGGTGTAGATTAGCTGTGCACTAGGACATTACACTGAGGCAACCAAAGCTGAGAAGACACATCGGGGAACAAGCAACAGGTGGGGAAAACTCAGCACAAATGGGGAAGGGCAGATTTCAAACAGGGCTCAATATGTTCCAAAGCTGAAATAGAAACAACTCGCAGCAGACTGACTGAGCATGTTTAGTAAATATCTATCAGTCACTAGTTAGCAGGCTGAGGGAACACACTGGTAAATCTGCTGGCTCACTAACACAATGATGTAGGGTTAAAACCTTGCATGGGTTAGCATTATTCCCTTAGTTAGTTAGTTAGTTAGTTAGTTGGGTTATCCTCATTGCACTCCGGACATGTCCATAGGTGCTCAGATCCTCCCCTCAGTATGAACCCCAACGTCCGATGGCTAATAGTACCAGTTCTATGTTGATTAACAAGTCTTCTGGCGTAGCTGGTGTGCGTCTCGTTTTTTGCTGTGCCGATCTTAATTCCCAAGTCTGCCATTCTGGCGAGTGATGTGGATTCACTGCCACCAAAGTCCTCTATTCTTCCCATTTCTCTGAGGGCATTGATAATATCAGCATGATCCATAGGCTGACCGTCGGTAGTGATAGCGGATCCAGCCAACCTGTCAGCTCTTTCATTTCCATCGACGCCTGCGTGTAGCATTATTCCCTGCTCCAATACATCACTGGAAGATGAATTTTGAATGATTACTTTATCCAGTATGGCAATGAAGTCTGATGAGTGATGCTGGCTACAAGGAATATGGGCTAGCCAAGATGGCTAACGTAATAAACACAGGTGAGTGGCTGCAGCTCTGTCATTACCAACACTGTGCACCTCACACCACACGCCTAACGTTTGAACAGCATGTAAACATGCTTTTTAAATGTTTAAGTCTCTCATTAGGTGTGTTATATTTGCGATTAATTATCAATATTCTGTTTCTGCTCAATCTGTTGCAGTTTATACACTTTGTTTATTCAGGAACTGGCCACCAATATTTTTGCATTTTCTACCGAATTATATTTGCTTCTGTGTTACCTATTGCATCGCCATTTACTTGACTTCTAATACAACTCTATGATTTCAACAACAAAAATACTTTTAAAAAAACTCTTGATGTTGACATCCTTAATAATGACAGCAGTTATAATGTGCTTTAGGGAGGGTTCCTAGAAAATGACAAGGATGAAGTTCCTCCTCTCTACAACAAGAAGCCTGGGCAACATTCTAGAGACCATGTGCTGCCCATGCAGCATGATCCCTCTCTTGGCCAGTCTTATCTACTCCAAAGGAAAAGTATCACCACTATACAGGCAGCGGTCAGTCTCTAGTGACCATAGAGTTGTGATGCCAGTTTTTGGGAACAGCGTCTTCTATGACTGTAAATTGCCATGTGAGAGTGGCAGTCTCTCCACACAGACTTCATAAAAATGTTGATACTTGTATTATATGAGACTTGTTTTCTCTTGAACATCTCGTCTCTACAGCTTGCTGTGTTTGTCATCTTGCAATGTGTGACAGTCAATCTTTCACTGCCTGCATCATTTTGCAAAGTTTGACAGTCAATCTTTCACTGCCTGCGTCATCTTGCAAAGTTTGACAGTCAATCTTTCACTGCCAGCATCATCTTGCAATGTGTGACAGTCAATCTTTCACTGCCAGCATCATCTTGCAATGTGTGACAGTCAATCTTTCACTGCCTGCATCATCTTGCAAAGTTTGACAGTCAATCTTTCACTGCCAGCATCATCTTGCAATGTGTGACAGTCAATCTTTCACTGCCAGCATCATCTTGCAATGTGTGACAGTCAATCTTTCACTGCCAGCATCATCTTGCAATGTGTGACAGTCAATCTTTCACTGCCTGCGTCATCTTGCAAAGTTTGACAGTCAATCTTTCACTGCCAGCAACGTCTTGCAAAGTGTGACAGTCAATCTTTCACTGCCAGCATAATCTTGCAATGTGTGACAGTCAATCTTTCACTGCCAGCATCATCTTGCAATCAGTCAATCTTTCACTGCTTCATCTTGCAAAGTGTGACAGTCAATCTTTCACTGCCAGCATCATCTTGCAAAGTGTGACAGTCAATCTTTCACTGCCAGCATCATCTTGCAAAGTGTGACAGTCAATCTTTCACTGCCAGCATCATCTTGCAATGTGTGACAGTCAATCTTTCACTGCCAGCATCATCTTGCAAAGTGTGACAGTCAATCTTTCACTGCCAGCATCATCTTGCAAAGTGTGACAGTCAATCTTTCACTGCCAGCATCATCTTGCAATGTGTGACAGTCAATCTTTCACTGCCTGCGTCATCTTGCAAAGTTTGACAGTCAATCTTTCACTGCCAGCATCATCTTGCAATGTGTGACAGTCAATCTTTCACTGCCAGCATCATCTTGCAATGTGTGACAGTCAATCTTTCACTGCCTGCGTCATCTTGCAAAGTGTGACAGTCAATCTTTCACTGCCAGCATCATCTTGCAAAGTGTGACAGTCAATCTTTCACTGCCAGCATCATCTTGCAAAGTGTGACAGTCAATCTTTCACTGCCAGCATCATCTTGCAATGTGTGACAGTCAATCTTTCACTGCCAGCATCATCTTGCAAAGTGTGACAGTCAATCTTTCACTGCCTGCCTCGAGAGAAGACAGTCTGCAGCTGATCATCATCATCAGTTCTCGTTATGCCTAGTGACACATGAGGCTTCAGAGAGGACTTTCCATGCTTTCCTGTCCTGTGCAATCTTTAGTGCAGTTTTCCATGTCAAAGATGCCGCACTCAGGTCACTTTCCATCGTTCGTCTCCATGTTGTTTTTGGGCGCCCCTGTTTTCTCTTTCCCTCTGGTGTCCATGTGAGAGCTGTTTTGGCAGGTATATCAGAAGTCATTCTTATAACGTGGCCAACCCCATTTCCATCTTCTCTTGGTAATCATACTGTCTAAAGTTTCTTGGTTTGTGGCTTGAAGTAGTTTAGTGTTTGAGATTGTCTCTGGCCAGAAAATGTTGATAATTCTACGTAGACAGCTGATACCTCCCAAGTATTTGTGTCAATGTCCTTATAGCATAGATTTCACCTTCCTGTTGATCTTCTCCCTATTTCCACTTCACGAAACAGGAGATTCTTTTGAATGTAACCGTCCTTCGTGCGGGAGGCATATCCCAACCATTGCAGGCATCTTTGCTTTAACATCTATGTTTGGAGCATAGCATGATGCATGAGCTGCCAGAACAGAAGAACAGTGCTCTCTCTGTGCCTGTTGGAGCTTCCCTCCTAGATCAGCTGCCAACCCAGCAAAGGCCTTATCTGCCCTGCCATACTAGTCAGCAAAAATGTTAGTCACTAAATAAAACAGTACCCTGTTATTAATTTAATGTCATTAAAATAAACAGCACTAGGAAACAACAAGGTCTTTGGATAGACATGGCTTTCACAGAAGGCAGTAATGTTGCTGACGAATTATTATGGTGATGCCTTCACACATTTTGCTAATCCGCAGCCTGTGCTGTGCTTCAAGTACCACTGTGAGGAACTGCAGTAAACATTACTGTCAGTAGCCCTAACTAATCTATAACACACTACAAGAAACATATGACATCTTTACACTGACAGTCCGTCACAAACACCCTACACTACAAACATTTCAGCAGGTATGTCTGTTTCACTCATATACAA